TCTGATAGGGTTAAGCTTGGCTATGCTTCCTGAACACCTTCTGAATCTGGACTTCACTCATTATGAGATCCTCATAGAGGTTCTTCAGATGAGAGTTATCATCTTCAATGTTTTCTTTGGAAAAAATTTTCAATTTCTTCTTTTGCGGTCTTCTCCAACGTGTCTACAATCTCTAACAAGTCCTTGCAGAAGTCCTGAATGCCATATAAGTTTGCCTCCTCCACCAATTTTTGGATGCTCTGCTGCAAAACCTCGCATATATTTTTGCATTGCCTCTTTTAGCTGCTCTTCTCACTTGACTTCTTCCATGAGTTCCTCCTCTTGTAGAGGGAGAATCTATCTTCTGTTTCATGTTGATCCATGTCTTCTTCCAAGTTTGGTAATGGTTCTTTTGTTTCACAGCTGTGCACAACAACCAAGGAGAGGACCTAAGAGACAACGCCAAAGCTGGGACTGCATGGCACCAGCCTCCTTTACTGACCGCCAGTGACACCAATAATGTCTTTAAGTTTTCTCTCACATATCACAACATTCTTCTATGACATATTTTCTATTATTTTATTCATTTATCACTTTCAAAATAGTTACCAAATCAATCTTTTATCTACTTTTGTTTCCCATGACTTACAGATTTTGCCAGCTCAGCTGTTTTTCCATTGTTCTTGCCTCACGTTTCACCCTTGCTAGGACCTAATTTTAAAACTGGGTCCCAAGCCGGGCTCAGTGGCTCAGCCTGTAATCCCGCACTTTGGGAGGCTGAAGTGAGTGGACTGCCTGAGCCCGTGGGTTCGAGGCCCACCTGGGCAACTTGGCGAGACCTCATCTCTACAACAAATCAAAAATCAGCTGGGCCTGGTAGCGCGCGCCTGTAGTTCCAGCTACTTGGAAGGCTGAGGCGGAAGGATCGCCAGAGCCCAGCAGGTCGAGGCTGCGGTGGCTGGAAGCGGCCACTGCACTCCAGTCTGGGTGACAGAGTGAGACTCCAACTCAAAAATAAAAAAAAAATAAATAAATAAAATTGGGTCCCAGATTGCTCTGTCCTCCTGATTTTCTCATCATAATTAAAGCCTATTTTGCTGATTGAAGTTTCTTTGTTTTGGACACATACTTCCGTTCTTCTAACAGTGATTACTCAGCAGGGCAAACTACTCCTTGGATAAACATATAGTTTAGAATAGTGGAGTCATTTTAAGGTATAGGAGAGCATGTATCTATGTATCCTGAATTAAGGTGAATGAAGATATAGTCATGTCTTAAACTATAATCCTTTCCTCCTCATTCAGGGATGGGAAAAGTTTTTTCATGAGCATTAATACTAGGAAAAATCTTAAATCTACATGATGAAATCAATACCAGATCTTTATAGAATGACTGGCTGGCAAAAGAAAAATGAAATGAGCACGAGGTCTTATGTAGTGTTTCTTTACATTAAGGAAAAAGAGCCTGTCAGAGTAATGCTAATAAGGAAATCCTGTTTTAAAAACTCAATTGAGAAATCCAGAAAATTAATTTATTAAAAAGCTTTAAGGCAATATCCAACAGATTTAAGGGTCTTTGCTTTGAGGAAGTAGAGTGCTGCTTTTAAAAATAAGGCAGGCAGTCAGGTGTGGTGGCTCACGCCTGTAATCCTAGCACTTTAAGGGGCTGAGAAAGGAGGATCACTTAAAAGCAGGAGTTCAAGACCAGTTTGGACAATAAAGCAAGACCCTGTCTCTACCAAACAATAAAATAAAATAAATAAGCCAGGCATGGTAGCACACACCTGTAGTCCCAGCTACTCAGAAGGCTGAGGTGGGAGGTTCACTTCAGCCCAGGAATTCAATTCAAGGTTGAATGACAGAGTGAGACCATATCTCTAGTAATAATAATAATTATTATAGTAACAATAATAATAATAATGACAGGCTACAGAATATTTTAATAATACTTTTCCTCTGAAAATGTATCTAAGAGATTTTTTAACATTTAGCAAGGGCAGGATTTAAGAAGCTTGGGCAGGGCCAGGCGCAGTGGTTCAAGTCTGTAATCCCAGCACTTTGGGAGGCTGAGGTGAGAGAACTGCCTGAGCCCACTGGTTCGAAACCAGCCTCAGCAACTTGCAACTTGGCGAGACCTCATCTCTACAATAAGTCAAAAAAAAACAAAAACAAAAACAAAAAAACAAGGAAGCAGCAGCAGCAGCTTGGGCAGTAAAAGAGTTTCTTTAGAACTCTTATTTACTTTAAGTGCAGTCTAACTATGTGCTTTGAAAATAGTCATATAAATATATTTGCAGAAAAAAAGTTATTTTCCAAGTCATAAAACTCATTAAGTTAGAGAATATGATTTTCTAGTTATGATGGGAGAGGTTAACACCTAGTATGGTCTATGTAATACCTTAAAATTACCCTGGGCACATAAGGCTCTGTCCAGATGACAATGGAAATCTATATATCTTTCATCTAATGAGTGACCATATATATCTCTGAATCCATAGTTGCTTTTGACTAATTTGAAGCTTGGTTCTTATACAGTGGGATTCCTAAATTCAAATTATATTGTAAAGATAAAAAGTTCAAATAACTAAACTTTGCTAATTCTACTCAGTTTAGGAAGAATTATCATGTCATGGCAATGTTCCATGGGGCAGTTTTAAATAGATAAGAACGAATTTTCGGCCGGGTGCAGTGAGTGGTTCGGTCTGTGATCCCAGCACTTTGGGAGGCTGAGGTGAGAGGATTGCCTGAGTCTGGGGGCTCGAGACCAGCCTGGGCAACTTGGTGAGACCTCATCTCTACAATAAAAATCACAAAAACCAGCTGGGCATGGTGGCATGCATCTGTAGGTCCAGCTACTTGGAAGGCTGAGGTGGAAGGATTGCCTAAGCCCAGCAGGTCGAGGTTGTGGTGGCTGTGAGCATGCCACTGCACTCCAGCCTGGGCAACAAGAGTGAGACTCCAACTCAAAAAACAAGCAAACAAATAAATAAATAATGAATTTTCATATGAAATAGGTTCTCAGAATAAGATCTCAAAGTTTTCTTGGTGAGACTAACATTAGGTTAGGGTTTTTGAGCAGTTTTGATAAACTGAGTGCAAAGGGCACCTTACACTACTACATACTTCACAACCTCACAGGAACCACCCCAAGATGGAATTAATCAATTCTTTCAAGAAATTTATATTATTAGTGAGTTGAAGTCAGTTAGGTTAGGTTAGCTCAGATGCAAAAAAGTCCTTATTTTATTTATTTATTTAAAAGGATATTAACCTGCAGCCAAAGGGTTTCCCTAGAGACATTTAGTTTTAAAAACATGTGTTCAAAATTAGGTATCTGCCAGGCATCATACTAAGACACTAAAGATACATGAGATACATTCATAGGACTTGGCCACTTAACCATAAAACACTTGGTATTAGTACAGAAATGAGAAATATGTTACACAGTGGCTCTTAAAAGGATTCTTGACCTTCATGCATGAAGTTAAAAAAACAGAGAGAGAGAGAGATAAAACAGGAGGAATCTGAGACCATATCCAGGTCTCTGATATCAACTAGTGATGCCTTGTACCTGTACGAGTTAATGACTTCTTTACTTCAGTTTATTGATTTAAAAAGTCAACTAAATTACAGAGCAAAGGCACAATATGCTTCTGAGCAAAAGAAAAACAAATCCAAGATGAGCAATTTTCTGAAATATAGTAGTATACAGTATGAATATATTACAGTATATATGCTAATTTTTATAGACATCCTGTGAACATTCAAATAAACTCAAGAATAAATAACTATAAAACCTCAGTTTTTATTACAAAATGAAAATTGTGCATTATATGAACTCTGAATTTTTCCATATTAAGGAATCTATCATTGCTTCTAATTTAAAAAAAAAGACAGTTTGTTCACTTTAACTCTAAATGTCACTATTTGCTCACAAATACTTAGAAAAAAGAGAATTGCTTACTTACACAGTGTAATTATACTTCTTTTTTATTTTTTAAGCGTAAAAAATCAGATTTATTGAGTATGTTGCAAGGAAGCAGTGGGCAGAAAAAAATAGCTGTCCATGTAATTATACTTCTAAAGAGCAAGAAAGAAAGCTTATTTTCTCCTTTACAAAATGAATCAATACTAAAATATTCTGATAGAAGTCCACTGCATATTAGCCTAGCGATATCTGACCATAGCTAGAAGATAACTAAGCTTCTATCTTGCTGTTAAATACCCTGCTGTTTTCCGAATTCCCTCTGTTTTCCTAATTCCCTCTTCCTTTCTCTCTAATACTACCTTACTTCGTAGATGGGGCTTTTAGAGCTAATTCTGAATTTAATGGTGATAGAATGTTACAACAGAACAGAAATTCCTTTCTGGGGGCAGTCTTATGAATTACTGCCACTGAAATTGTGGGTTATAATTTATGGGTGAAAGACACAGGTGTGGAAGTCACAAGTTCTAGTTCTGACACTGGCAAAATCTGTGTAACCTTGGAGAAGTCACTTAACCTCTTTGGGTCTCAACTTTCTCATCTATAAAATAAAGCAGACTGGAATTTGATAGTTACTAGGGTCCCTTTCAGTGTCTAAATTCTGTCTTTTCTCTAACTAAACAAGAAAAAAATTAAGATTCAAAATACAAAAAAAACCCCCAAAACAAAAAACAAAACCCTGAAATTACTGCTACTGGTCTAACAATTGTTATATAGAGTTAAGGGTCTATTATGACAGTTTATATGATTTATGAGGTCACAAGTTAGGAAGTACATAATTTACTAAAGTACACAATTTAAGTGACTTTGATTTTAGAATTTCCCCACAAATATGATCCAAATACCACTGAGTTGCAGTGGAAAAGTACTAACCTGGGACTCAGGTTTTAACTTGGTTCAGACGCTTTTCTTAGGTAAATTAACATCTCTTGGTCTTGATTTTCTCATGTGTAAGATGACAAGGTTGCACTATATTATCTCTAAGACCTTTCCTAAAACCAAAACTCTTATGTTTTAAGGGGTTATTTTCAACCTACCCTTTTGTAATGCATTCCTTCCATAAACAGCTTGGTCTGTTTATAGATTTCTTGGCCTGTCTTGTGGAAGGTCTTGAGAAATTCTATGAACTCCTTAGACACTCTATCCGTTTCAATGCTGGTTTGCCGGTTTATAGAAGGACTGGGAGCTTTTGCTTCCTGAATTTCTGCTGGGAAAATTAAACATAGTAAGTTTCATTATATAAAAAAATCAATGCACAGAATAACTTTAAGTATCTAACCTAAGGTTACTGAAGTTATGTTTAATCAAAGTTAAACTCAAATTTAAATCGTTTTAAGTTAAAGTGTTTGGATGACTTTCCTTAAAGTAAGATAAATTCATTTTACAAATAGCAAGTACAAGTAGACAATACTAAATGATCTAAGAGATATTCCTATTCAAATAAAAGTTGCTCTAATAGTATTTTTTTTAGCCAGAATATATTGTGCTTTGATCTATATATTTAATCACTGATGCTGAAATGGACCATTGTCTCGAACAATCTTCTCAAAGAATGCCCAATTTTATAAAACTAGCCAACAAATAAAATAATCAATAGATGCACAAAAATGTTAGAGTATTTATAAAATGTTAGACAAACTTCCCAAATCCCATTTTGTTTCCAAAAAAGCAAAGGCTAATTTGTTTATGTAGAGACTTGTGATTTTTTACCACCATTCAGTTTGTGAAAGAATGCATCTGAGTAGTAGCTTAATAAGCATGAGAGAGCATAGATTAAAGAGACAAGGAAAGCAAACAATACTTTATCCAACCATTTGGGCATATAACTCTTTCCCCTCTTCAAATAAATATACTGAAAGGAAAATAGGGCCTTTACAGAAGAGAGATAAAGGTGTAATAGCAGCTAGTGTAGGCTTTCAGACAGTATAAACTATCACTTGGTTTGTGATCACATTTTAAGCCTCCTGATTTTGAACTATGCTCTCTACTTCAACACCTATAAAGAAATAAAATACTTTATACCCACACGATTCCCCCATACACACAAAAAGATACTTTTAAAATCTTATTATTAAAGATAATTTTAAAGTAGCTTAAAATCACCCTATTATAAGATTATAATTTTTTATAATCGTATATTTTGAACTTTAGGACTTGAACTCTTGATTTTATTCCAGAGATAGTTTAATGATGAGGTTGTGATAAGTTCTAAGATAACACAAGCAATATTCCTATAAGAGTGTCTTGTTTATGTAAGTGAGACAAACACATGTAGATTACCTAAAAGAATATACTATCAACTAAAGTAGAGTTCACTTTTCACTTATCATGACATATAACTAGTTATTAAGCTAATAATGCGGATTTATTTGCTTGACTTACGTTCAAATAAAGTAAAAGCATCATTTTCCTCCTAAACTGTTCTACAATAGTCAGCAGAATAAATTACATTTTATATTTATACAAATCAAATATTTGCTTATCTTTTAAATTATCAGGGCTTCCTAACTATGATTCAAAATCTAGAAACCCTAAAAGAGAAGAACTCAATCATATTATAAGAAAAAAAAGCACGTATGAAAAACAATCTACGTATAGTATAGCAAAACACTAAGTCAAAAGTCAAACACAAACCTGAAAAAATGTTTGTAAGTGACAACACAGACATAGGGTTACTCTCCATAAGGACTCCCATAGACAGAGGGGAAAAAAACAAGTCCAACAGGAAAATAGGTAAAGAACACAAGAATGCACAGAAAGATAACATGGATAAGATCTTGATATAGGCCGGGCTTGGTGGCTCAGCCTGTAATCCCAGCACTTTGGGAGGCCAAGGTGAGTAGACAGCCTGAGCCCGCGGGTTCGAGACCAGCCCAGGCAACTTGGTGAGACCTCATCTCTACAATAAAAAAAATAGCCTGGCGTGGTAGCGCGTGCCTGTAGTTCCAGCTACTTGGAAGGCTGAGGCAGGAAAACAAGCCTTCTCATACTAGGTAAGGTGGAATGCAAAATTATATAACTTCAATGGAGGAAAAAAATCATCAAAACTAAAAATGCATTTATCCCATGGCCAAACAATTCGATTTCTCAGATATTGGCTACTGATATACTTGCACATGCACAAAATGAAATATGTACAAGGCCACTCATTTTAGTATTAGTTGTAATTGCAAGAGACTAGAAACAAGTGGTCACCACTGAAGGACCAAATAGACTGTAACTTAATCAATAAAATGGAATACTATGCAGTTTTAAAATTAAAAATGTATACTTCTTATGTACTGACATGAAAATAGCTCATAAACATATTGCTATTAAAAAAAGGGAGGGCTTAAGCCGGGCACGGTGGCTCATGCCTGTAATCCTAGCACTTTGAGAGGCAGAAGCAAGAGGATTGCCTGAGTCCAGGGGTTCAAGAACAGCCTGGGCAATTTGGTGAGACCTCATTTCTACAATTAATCAAAAGTTAGCTGGGTGTGATGGCACGCACCTGTGGATCCAGCTACTTGGAAGGTGGACATGGAAGTATCACCTGAGCCTAGCAGTCTGCAGTGGCAATGAGCATGCTACTGCACTCCAGTCTGAGCAACAGAGTGGGACTCCACTCAAAAAAAAAACAACAAGGAAGGGTTACAGTGGATAATGTGACCACTTTTATGGGAGTTTGGGATAAAAATATATGTGTTTTTTTTTTTTTTTGAGTTGGAGTCTCACTCTGTCGCCCAGACTGGAGTGCAGCGGCCGCTCCCGGCCACCGCAGCCTCGACCTGCTGGGCTCCGGCGATCCTTCCGCCTCAGCCTTCCGAGTAGCCGGAATTACAGGCACGCGCTACCACACCTGGCTGATTTTTTGATTTACTGTAGAAATGAGATCTCGCTGTCCAGGGGTCTCAAATCTGCGGGCTCAAGCAATCCACTCACCTCAGCCTCCCAAAGTCGTGGGATTACAGGCCGAGCCACCGAGCCCGGCTAATATATGTGTTTTATAAATAAGAACAAAAGCACAGATCAGAGAAAGAATCACCTAAGTAAAATGTAGAACAATAACACAAAGTATGAAAGTAAGCAAACTAAGAAGGTTACTGTAAGATTTTTACATGTAAAGTGGTATAATATGATTTGAAAGTAAGTTAAAGATGTATTTTGAAAACCCAGCTGTGGGAATCTGCTGGGGGAGGAGGCACACCTCATTAACAAGGGTATCTGCATAACGAACATTTGTACACCTAACCCTGAATTGTACCCCACATCTTTAAAAGAAAAAAAAAAAAAAAACCCTGAACAGGCTTGGGCATGGTGGCTCATGCCTATAATCCCAGCACTTTGGGAGGCTGGGGTAAGAGGACTGCCTGAGGCCATGGTTTCAGGACCAGTCTGAGCAACTTGGTGAGACCTCATCTCTACAATAAGTCAAAAACTTAGCCGAGCATGGTAGCGTGTGCCTATAGTTCCAGCTACCCGGAAGGCCAAGGTAGAAGGATTGCCTGAACCTAGTAGGTCGACGATGCAGTGGCCATGAGTGTGCCACTGTACTCTAGCCTGAATGACAGAGTGAGATTTCAACTCAAAAAAAAAAGGAATAAAGAGAAAGAAAACACCTGAACAACTGCTAACAAAAACAAAACAAAGAGTTACAGCTAATAAGCTAAAAGTGTAGATAAAGATATGTCTCACAAGAAGGCAAGAAAAAAGGAGGAAAAGAACCAAGACCAAATGGGCTAAACAGCTTTCTGCATCTTGCAAAGAGCAAGACGGTAGGTTTAAACTCTACCTTATTTTTAAAAATTACATTAATTATAAGTAGTCTAAACAGTCCAATTAAAAGTCAGAGATGATCAGATAAGATAAAAAACAAGATCACACCATATGCTGTCTATAAGAAATATACTTTAAATATAAAGATAAGATACAGATATGTTAAAAACTAATGAAAGGAAAAGGATATACCATCTATAAAATCAATCAAAAAGTGCTTAAGTGGTTATATGAATGCTAGACAAAGTAAATTTTTTTTTTTGAGTTGGAGTCTTACTCTTTCACCCAGACTGGAGTGCAGTGGCCGCTCCCGGCCACCACAGCCTCCGGCGATCCTTTCACCTCAGCCTTCCAAGTAGCTGGAACTACTACAGGTACGCGCTGCCAGGCCCGGCTGATTTTTTGATTTATGGTAGAGATGAGGTCTCACCAAGTTGCCCAGGTGGATATCGAACCCGCGGGCTCAGGCAATTCACTCACCTCAGCCTCCCAAAGCGCGGGATTACAGGCTGAGCTACCGAGCCCGGCTACAAAGTAAATTTCAGAACACAGACCATATTACCAAGGACAAATAGGGGCATTTTGTGATGAGAAAGTGTTAATTCTTCAAGAAAATACAGCAATCCTAAATGCATATGCACTAGATAACCCAGCTTCAAAACATGTGAAGCAAAATTTGACAGAACTGATAGGAGAAACAAATCTACAATTACAGCTGGAGATTTCAGTACTCCTCTCTTAGTAACTGATAGAACAGGTGACTTTATTTATTTATTTTTATATCAATAATTTTTATTTTGATATTGTGGGGTACAGTTAAGGGTTAGGTATACAAATATGCTTCATTCAGGCACCCTTGTTGATAAGACAGGGTGCCTGACAGATATTGGCTACTGTTAATCCCACCTCCGTTCCCCTCCCCACCCAATAGTTTCGCACCACTGTCAGTCCTTTTTCTATAGTATTATGATGGATGTTCAAGGTCCGCTATATGAGTGAGAACATGTGATACTCAGATCTTTGTTTCTGTGAGCGGTCACTCAGTATTATAGACTCTAGTTCTATCCAGGTTGCTGCAAAGTTCATGATTTTGCTCTTTTTTATGGCTGCGAAGTATTCCATTGTGTATATGTACCACATTTTTTTAATCCAGTCCTATTTTGATGGACAGTATGGTTGATTCCAGGTTCTTGCTATTGTGAACAATGCTGCAATAAACATACATGTGCAGGTATCTTTTTGATAGAGTGATTTGAGTCCTTCAGAGTATATTCCCAGTAGGGGGATTGTGGACCCCTATCTGTTCCCATACACAAAAATTAACTCTACATGGATCAGAGACCTAAATATAAAACCTCAAACCATAAGAACCTTAGAAAATGCAGGACACACCCTTATGGAAATTGGAACTGGCATCCAATTCCTGAACAAAACCCGAAACCCACAGGC